CGTTTAATAGCCAAACAGCCTATTCAATACGTATCCCTTTTCTTATAGCCTAGTAGGCCCCCACGTCGTGTCCTTAGGGGGGGGGGAGGGGGAACTTTGAGGGTGTGAACAATTTTTGCTTTTCCTGGCATTTCTGTCCTCTCCTGGAAATGCATTTGGTCAGCCTAATTAAAATGAGATGTATATGCCTATACGCGCCTTGGGACGCTGAGCTCAAATATGTGTTCCTTATCTGCTGAACTCTTCTCTGAAAGGAATTATGAAGCAGAAAAGCGCAGGGGCTGTGGTCGAGGCTCACGAAAAAGAGGTCAGGGGATCGACTCCCTGGCGAGCTTATTCTTTTGCCGCTTTCAGTGGCATAGCTAGGGATATTCGTGTGCCCTCCGTAACTCCTTTCGAAGAAGAGTTCAGCAGATAATGAAAACAGATTTGAGCTCAGCGTTTCATGCTGCGTACAGAAATGTGCACCTCATTTCATTTGGCCGGGTTGGCCTAATGACCTTTCCTGATACCCTTGCCTAATATAAACCTAGAAGCGGTTTATGCCCTGTTTTGAGTGTCCTCCCGCCCCCTAAGGCAGTGAGCGCCGTCTAGTAACCACCTAATCGCATATGAGATCGTGATTTGAGATCGTTGCTTGCGTGACAAGCCAGAACCCAGGCTGCTTTGCTGCAAATGCAAAAGCTAATGTTAGCTGTCAGTTTGGTGAATGACAACGCAGTTCTGTGATAGATTTAGGTGGACGGCAGATGTTGTCTTTTCAGTTAGGAGAGCTTCCAAATCTCGATCCAGAGGGCAAATTTATTGTATCTACACGAATCAGATGTGGACGATCCCTCGCAGGATATCCGTTTAATCCGTGTTTGACCGAGGTAAACCCGTCCTCTTCATTCCCTTCACTTCTTCTGCAAGTGCTTCTCACTAACAAGCTATTGATTTTCTGCAGATCAACTACAAAAACATGGAGAAGAGGATGCAAGATATTTTCTCAACGATCAAGGACGATGAGCTAAAGGTGACATAATACACAACAACACACACAACGTGACACGTCCCCTCTTACTACGAAAATCGGAGTTTTTTGTGCAGCTGGTGAAAATGTAGTTCGGGGGGCACCCTATCTAATCGAAGTGAAGCTGCGGAAAGACACTCATATCTAATCAAAGTAGAGTTGCGGGAAGGCACTTATATCTTATCATATCTTTCACTAAGACCGTGCGACTAGTACGTTACACTGGACTAGTACGCTTACCCTTGTCATATGGTCTAGGGCTAAAATGGCTGCTACCCTGCTGGCTCCTTACTTTCATCAAACCTTCTTGCGACTGCCATGCAACCCTCGAAGAAAGGGCCTCCCAGGTATCCGATTTTTTATGGAACCACGGATTGGTATCCCTATCTAATCATACACTCAGAGACTGTGCTCTGGATGGTGATTAGATATGACCGCCCTACCGCAGCTCCACTTCGATTAGATATTGCCAGTTCGATTAGATATTATGAGTGCCCCCCCCCCCCCCCCCCAAAACCCTGCAGCCTGTATCACTTTCTGCCTCTTTCTGCCTCATAGTCACCTTACTCGTTAAACGTCTCCATTTTTTGTGTCAAATGAGGGATTGACGCACTCTTAGAGTTCGGAAGCGCGCTAATATATGTATATCCACAAAGAAGTGACAGAAGCAACACTCCATAAAGTACTCAAGGGGCCAGGGGGCTCGCTATGCACTGAGCTTAAAGGCAAGAATTAGGGGTGAGTTGATGTAGTAATTCCACTCAAATATGAAAATAGAGATGGGAGTTGGACTACATGTAGAGGAAAAGGAAAAATTGTGAATTACATATGTATACTAGCCTTCTTGCTCTACGGTGCGGACGAAACCAAAAGGCAGGCAGGGAGATGAGAGATAATGTGAGCGCGGAGAGCGGTAGAGAAGTCCGAGTAGAGAGAGCATAGCAGATCAAGTTAGCGACGCAGACAAGATATCGACGGTGGGCGGACCATGTTAGTTTGGTGGAGTCTGTTAGAAGTCCATGGCGCCTAGGGTCCTAGTGACGGGTTTCGATGTAGGGTGGCGCTACCTTTGCACTTGCGTGCCAGCACTTCTAGCCATGGTAAAGGCTTGTGAAAAGGGTCTGAGCCCAAACTTTGCCTTTAAGAGGAGAATGGGCGAGAAAAATGAGAATTGCCTAGCTGCTCCTCCCATGGTTCTCCCTTGAGCTTCTGAAAACCGCGAGAGGAATGCTGAGTGTGTTCGCTCCGTACAACGATGTACCCCCCCCCCTCCACCCAGCTATTCGCGGGAGGGTTTGTACAGTGGAGCTGACGTGGCTTTTGCCTTTTGTTTGTCGCATATGAAGCCTATAGGAAAAAATGACACACTCAGTCTGCTCCGGCTCTTGCTTTCCTTTTTCTGTAATGATTATATCTATACTCTTTGTGCACAATCAAATATCATGCCCATTGCTTTGCATATCCCACCCACTTGCATGAAAATTGGAAAATCATTCTGCGCGTGTATCACCACAGATAGAAGAAATCCTCCACGGAAAATTCTTGCATTCATTCTCACTTGATCACATCAGTTGTGGTCACAAGAGACCACAGTTTCACCCACGAATATTCAGTTTCTGAAGAGCAACGAACCTGTGAGTACCACACTCTGGGGACAGGTAGGGCGGAGGCAAGGAAAGAAAGGCGGGAAGTAAGTGCCCTGGGACGGCCACGTTTGGGGCGACCGAGAGAAAACATCTGAATAAGACGATAAAACTAAGCGAATAGAATGCAGTAGAAAAG